GTCCGGCAGGGAACACTGGGCGTGGATGGTCGTGGTTGAGGTCCGGCGAGGAGGAGAAGAAGGAGGAGGAGAAGGAGAAGTCAGCTAACATAAAATCTAACAACCCTCACCTGGCAGGTGGGGAACCAACGATTCTACGTATCTATTTGCCCCCCCCCTCATAGTTATATAGAAGATGTTAGAAGATATGCCTGGAAGATCGAAAATGGTGACAACATAATAACAACCATGAGGCAGCCTCCCTCTCTCTCGCCCCAAACGACGCAAGTCTCGCCTCACAGCGGCAGCAACGTGAGGCCCTTCTGACCGGTCACAGCTCCACAGCGAATTCTCGATGGCCTGGCACTGCGTCGGGGTCTCATCCAGGTGACCCGACCACAGAATCGACGACGGACCGGGACCCATCGACTGGGATCTTGACCCACAATGAACCACACATAGACAGCAAAGATCCTCTGCGGGGGGGATGCTTGCGATCCCAGCAAGATTCCAAAGGCGGAATGCTGGAATGTACTTTTTGAAGAAACCAGGGGCCCTTGGAGCCTATGTCTTTGGGAACCTCTCACTATCCTTTATCCAAAGAAGACCCCTACTTGAAGTGGCCTTGAAGGGCATGGTCGGAAAACCTCTCTTCGGAAGGGGAAGATGCAGTGGTTGCTGCACGCGAGACCGACCGTGTTGGAGCTCTTGTTCAGCCACCTATGGCCCTGGTGAAAAAGCATCCAGCGAGCTTTTGGACGAAAGGCACCTCCCCAAGACATGCATCACATTTGGTGCGAAGTAGGCTCTATTCTTCATAACTATATACCCTGGAAGTCCAAAGACTATATTTTGACTGGCTGGAGTAAAGGAAGTTCCCTTTCGCAGAACGTGTCCACGAAACACCAAATGGAATAGATGCGCGGACCTTGAAACAGACCTCTCACCGACAAAAAAAGCAGGCTAAGTTGTATCCTAGGCTTCGAACAATATTAGTTTTCATCTGTTTTTGCCGAACAACCCGAGCTGTTTTACAAAGGACTTTACACCGCAACAGGTCCGGTCTGTCCCTTTCTCTCCAAGGTGGAACGGCGCATGGAACGGCGCACCGCACACCGTGCGCAAACCAAAGGGTTCGGGTCCGGTCTGTCCCCGTGCCAAGCAGCGGGATGGGCGGCAAAGGCTGCTCCTTCTCAGGCTGCGAATCGCTTTCCAGCTCTGAAATGTCATCGAAGGTGGACACCGCGCTACAACTGTCCTAGGCGCTAGCTATCGCTAGCTCGAGTCTCAAGAGCGAGTCCGGCCAACGGACATTCACAAGCGAGTCCAACCACTGATACGGGCGGCCTGGCCTCGAAACCACACCCACGGGACAAGACATACAAGGACCCATCCAGTTTCTTTTGAATGGAATACCCTACACTACTCATAGCCCTTCATTGGGCATCCCTTGGATGCTCTTGGTTCTGGATGGTTGCAATTCCCACTGGCCACCTCACTTCTTCAAACTTGGGAGCTGTTTCAATGGATCATCCAACAAATGGACGTGTGAACTTACATCCCAAAGAAATCCCTGTATATGCACCTTATCTTGTCCCATTTGTGATGCTAAATGGAAGTAAACATATTATTCCTTCATATTCCATCATATGGATGGTCTGGGCATGTGGCATGTAAGCTTTTGGGGGGAACTCCCAATCGGAACTTACTCCCAGTTCCGGTTCTCACCCCCCAAAAAACATCCTTCCCAAGTCCGATGATCTCGGAGTGCGATGGTGGAAGAGAAATCGTGAGCAAACCAAGCTGCGATTGAACCAGTAACCCTACAATACAATGTAAAGAGCCATACAAAGTGGAACACTACAGCTGATGTGAACCCAATACAATGTAGTGAAACAGCTGATGTGAGCAATACAAAGGGCAAACCCGTTGATCTTCGACTAGATCCTACTTGTCGGGCGGTTGGAAAAACCGAACAAAGCAGTGTTGAAGTGTATACAGTGAACCCCCCCAACTTAAATGTGTCTTGGAAACCGGGGGAAATATAACAGCAACTGTTTTCCAACTGTGCTTGTTTAGCGGGGAAACCAATTCCAACAAAAAAGGTTGGGCAGGTGATCCACTTTTCCTGGTAAGGAGACCCCAAATCCCAGGTTTCAGCCAGGTCCCACCCACCTCGCCAAGCAGCTGCGCTGCTAACTCCCTGAATGGGCTCGTCCACCTGCACCGCTAAGGAGCCAAGTTTGAGAGGAGCCCCCCCAAATGTTGCAGAAGATCTTGGATTTGCCTAGGGAACCAGGCGAAGATTAAAAATTCACTGGTTAGGGGATTCACTCATAGAAATAAATAAACATCACTCTAAGCACAACCAGGAGATGAGCCGTCCATAGGGTGAATTGGGAAGCATGTTTCTAGTGCGCAGTGATAAACATCGATCAAAACTCCTTGGGCCAGTCCCTCTTTCAAAACACACCCAAGTCGCCCACTTGGAAGGTCACAAACCATCTTCAAACTGCGTGCTTGTGCGCCTCACACATCAACGGCCAACCGGTCCCAACCGAACTAAAAAGAACCTCCTTGTTGGCTCACCTAATATAATTGTCCTGGACTTTCAGGCTTGTGATATATATATATATATATTACCGAGACACTCCATGTCTGCAATATATGCCTACATTGACCCCCAAACCACCCCAATGTAGGCATATATATGGCATACATGGAGTCTATGGGTTATGGACCCCCCATCTAAAGGACCTCTTGAGGTCCTGCGCTCCTCTGAACCCACCGGGGCCCACCGGAGACGACCCTTCTTTCTGCGCGCCAGGGACCGCGAGCGAAGCTGGCGGTCGTTGGGAGCAAGGCTTCGGTGGGAAGAAGAGGAGGCGCGTCGTGACCTGAGCTGATTCGTCTGGCTGGGTGGATCCTTCAGCCGGGACGGACTGGGAGGCAAAAGGGGTCGGAAATCACCCGGCTGGAGCACGCATAGAAAAAGAGTCCGTAGTGGAAAAGAAACGATTATGTTTTCCCCATATTTTCACCATGGATATAAAAATAGGGTTCCATCAGAACTGGATTTGTCTCTAGATCATCAGAAGTCTCTAGGAAACCTCCGCCACACATCTGGATGTGTATTGAGAATCGGACACCCATGGAACAGAACACCCTTTGCGGCAGGAAAGGTTCAGGAAGGGGGGTGTAGGTTCAGGGAGATCTGTCTCATGAGATTCAGGTATGTTTAACCCCTAGGGCTCCAACCATCTCCTCAGGTTCGGTGGTTAGACCCCCCTGGCGCCCACCCCAACCACCGAACCTCAGGAGGTGGGCCAGGAGCCCTAGGGAACAGGACTCGAGGCTTCAAGAGGAGCTTCATGGCCTCTAGTTCTCTAACCAACCAGCCTCGGATGGCCTCGGAACACAGCAGGAAGTTGGGGAGGCTCTACCGGTCATCCGTCAAGTACAAACATGGAGTGCTGCATGGTGGCAGGCCAGCATCAAGCCAATCCTGACGATTTGGATTTGCACCAGGAACTGGGTAAAACAATTAATGGAAAAAGTACACATGAATGCGCTCCCTGAAATCATCATGGAAGTGGATGGCATGACCCCTTGACCATTTTCCCAATACCAAACAGGTGGTGCACTCACTCACTCTTCCATGTGAATCAGTCGGAGTGCATTCCCCCAAAGAGGACTCACCCACAGGGAAAATCAAGGGAGCTTCCCTCCCAAGTCGGGCCCCAAGTGTGCCAAGTGACCCATCTCAGGTGAGTCTTTCCGTTGGAGTGGGAACTGCTCTCGATTCTTGATGGCTTTGTGGTGCAGCTCACTTCAAGCAAAACATCGTTATGACCCCACTGGGAAAAAACACATGGACCCTGAAAACCACTGGTGTGTAGTGGAAAACTGTCTTTCCAGGGTCCCATTCGCAGGGCCCATGTTAGTTTTCGGGAGTGTAAACCAAGACATTGTTATTAAGACCAAACCTCCGGAAAGCTTGGGACGCCGATGTTGCTCTGACCAGGGGTCTGGCAAAGACCGACATGGTCATGAAAAAGGCCCACACAAAACGCAACCCACTACACAACCGTTCGTCCTTTGCATTGGTGCATCTTGTATTATGCTGGGTTGTTCATCACACCCATGCACTGGCCGCCACCCTGCACATCCCAGTGACACCACAAAACTCTGGAACCTCCACTCGAAGGAAGAGCAATAATGGCTGAAGTCTTTGTACAGCTTCCCTGGTGGCCTGAGCTGTGGGGCCTTTGGGCCCCAGGCAGGTGAACCATGAGCGAACCTGCCAACTGCATGGTGACATGACCTTAAACCTGCCGACATCGACAAAGAGATCGGCGAGCCGACATGCCTGGCATAACTATGCATCACTCACCTCATTGGCCCCCCAAGCTTAAAAGCTTTAGGATGTCTGTGTTGGTTATTCATGGCGCTAGACTCAGAGAAGTCGGTTACATTTCTGTTGGAAGGTCCGAGGAGTTCATGATTGATACAACCGGCAGACTTTCTAGACAAAGCATTCTCCATGTAACAAATACCTGTGGCACCTGGGTGTTGGATTTCTTACATTTTTGGTTGGAGGGCCTACAACAATAGCAGCTCCCATCGAACTCTCTCCTTGTTGCGGTGCCCAGTTCGGCCTGCACAGCACTTGCCTGCCGCAGAAGATACTCAAGAAGATGAAATGCGCGATACGGCTGTCGCCAGTCATACTGACCTCAGTCGTCGTCATCGGCCAGCTGCACAGCAGCTTGGCCCAAGATCATTCTGACCCTCGGTGTGTTTTTGATCCGAAGGCCTACATGGGGAGGCGCATCCCGATGCATGTAAGTCTATTCCCCACATCTCAAGTGGGGAGAAACACACATTTCGCCACGGTTTGGGTAGAAACCGTGGTGTGGTCATCTGCTTTTGTCATCCGGGTCCAGGTATGGATGACAGCTGGAGCATCATGTCCATATCGCTTGACGAGTCTGGTGGGCTGTGATCGGTCTGACTGGGCTGTGATCAGTCTGACAAGACCTCAGCTGAGCGTCCATTCCAACTCATCTGTAGTTGATGTTCGATCACCTGCACCACGGTGGTCGGCTCGAAGTGGCGACACTTGCTCCACCACTCCTGCAAGCAGGAGTGGAAAAAAGCAGCACCGGTGACGTGGCGGCACTGGTGACTTATAAGCCGAGCCACTCAACTATGATCTAACATGAGGGGAGGGCTTTAAAATGATCAGAGTATAGTCACCTCAACAATGATCAAAGTATACGCCACTCACTCATTATAACTTATTTGGTCTAGAATGAGCTGTTTTGGTGAGTCTGCATGAGTCTGCAATTTTTGGGTGGCTCATCCACTTCTGAATGGAGTCCAGCAAGTCATCTGGCTGGTCATCCGAACGGTAACGTTTCTTCATGAATTCAGGCCATCTGGCTGGGCAGTTCATCCACGGACTTGACTTCCTGGGTCGGCTAAGCTGTCCGATGTCAAGAAGAGGAAAACGACTCCCAGAAGCGAAATGTGAAGTGCCCCGTGCCTCCAACTCCTTCTGGCTGGGCTCCACTGTGAGGCGTGGAATTCGGTGGCAAATCTGCCACACCAACCTTACTCGAGTGGACACTGACATGGGCATTGGATCTATCATTACCAGGGCCCAGTGGATGAAAAGGCCTCTCTCCAAAATAGTGATATTTTTTTACCGACTGTTACAGATTTACTTGCACAAACCCAACATAGCCATATTTACGAAGAGCGGCAGCATAAAGGGAAGTCAGTCATCGGGCCAATAATAGATCGTAGGGTCCAAGTTCCTATGCGCAAACGACTAGGGGAGTAGCTCCTTAGCTGCTCAAAAGGATGTATGGATAGCCTGGATAGTCCGGACTCTTCAGCACCCTGCTGCCTCCTCAGATCTCCTAAAAACAACACCGAAATGGACCATCCCAAAATCAAACTATATATATTATCAACGAAATCAGGACCTTTAGACTTCCACCACCCTACATCATGCTAAAGCGTGCTAAAGCAAGGGGAACTCAGGCAGCCCTCGGCTACCTTTCATGATCAGGACCATCCCTTGCTGGGCATCCAAGGGGCCATCGCACCTCACCCTGCTCTGCGAGACTCGTTGTCTGTGCGAGACTCGTGCTGCGCGCGGAGTGGACAGAGCTCGAGCTTGTGAGCCCCTCGGCCTTGTCAGTGGAGTCTATAAACCACTCTTTGGGTGCTGGAACAACCATGAGAGGTAGCCAGTGACCTGAACTAGGACCCAGAATGCCTAGGGCACCCAACTGGGATAGTCGAACAGTCGGGTTCTTCAACCTCTGTTGGAAACGGGCAAAGAAGCCCTATAGTTAGGAATTGCTCATGTCCTTGACTTATCTATACTGATCTTTTGCTTCTCTTACAGCCTCGAGACTGGAGAAGATGCCTGCATAGGCAAGTGTGGTGCCCAAAATCATGCGAAACAATCATAAGTGGTGAGGTCTCGTCTTCTGGGTTTCATCCTGGTACGTTGATGTCCTGTGTGCAAACAAAGCAGTTACCTAAACTGCCTCGTGCTGCTAGACCAAAATTGTGAGAAGCCGTCAATACAATAGAGTATGGACAAACATGGAACAGGTCCGAATCGGTGCCATCTTCCTTGGAACAGCAAATGTGGTACCAAAGGACTCAATAAAATAAACAAGGACCCTGCACATGTCGACATAGTGTGTTCTGACTAAACTGTCAGGTGAGCGTGATGCATTCTTGGCAGCATTGTTTCTTGCAAACGCTCAGCACAAACTGGCAAGGTCACAGTGTTGGACATTGCAAGTCGTGAGTAGGAACTTCCCCGCAGGGCAGCTCCTTTTCTCATCCACTTAAACAGGGGAACTCTGGACTCTGGGGCTCCTGATCCCTCCTATCATCCGACCCGCCGGGCACTCTGCTGGAACAGAGGACCACAAGGGTCCGCCCAAGAGTTGGCAAGTCAAACACATCTACCCCAGTTACTCCAGTTCTCATGTTGAGACAGGCTGCTCGTCACACGTGCCAAGCAAACAGTGATGAGGTATCAAGACTTTCTTGCGGGTTGGGAGGAGGATGAATTGTGAAGGATATAGATCCTCTCATATCCTCTCCGAGTCACTAGCATGGAAGTGGACAACCGCCTGTCGAAACATGGCCTTCCAGGGGTCTGTGCCATCCACTTCCATGATTATTTTAGGAACCACGAATCAGTTCTCAGTGGGAAATCACATCTGACTTCGTGGCCCTAAAGGGACAAGTTTCACCAAGTTTGACCAGCAAACCCCATTCCATTGGGCTTCTCCCTCTTCCAATGCCTACATAGATCATTGCCAGCGACTCAGTCGATGGCTACAGGCCCTTCTCCAAAACCCAGCGACTCCATCGACTCGTGCCTCGTCTCCGGCCCCCGCAAAGGTCCACGTCGGTCCCGCCATCCGTGCCATGGGAACAGCGCGACCACGGTGGACCACGGAGCTCCGTGAGGGTCGGAGCTCCAAAACCCACGGGCTCCTGCCTTGAGCCTTGGTTTAGGGTTTAGGGGCATATTTAATCAAATGAACAAGAAAAATAAATATATCTATTGTGGTATTATCATTAACTTATGTCTTCAGGATATGATATGTGAGATCTAGGCTGGACGTGATGGGACTCCTGGGAACGAAGAAATCAGATGGTGACACCAGGCTGCTCCCGCCTCCGAAAAGCCTCCGAAAAAGCCATTCTGACCCTTGGGCGCCGTGCAGAGAATCTCTGGGCGCCTCCAGTGACCGCAAAGGTCTTTCCACTGCCTGACCAAGAGAGGTTGAGTGACCTGAACTAGGACCCGGAAAGCCTAGCGGCCTAGGGCACCTATGGGGATAATATGGGATAATTAGTCCAATTAGGGTTCTTCAACCTCTGTTGGGAACTCTTGGAATGATGATTCCACGCATCGCATGCGTTGCCCGCTCCAAGCAGAACCGTGGTGAACGGTGATGGAAGCGTGGCACGGCGTCCATACTAAGACGTGACAGTCATGCTCCCTAGAGATCCAAGTACCTTCTCAGAAGGTACTTGGACCTCCAAACCTACATAACAGTTCCTCCAATCACCTTCTGAGAAGGTACTTGGATCCCTAGGGCTGGGGGTGATTTGACTTTTTCATACCTTTTCTTTTCCTTCTACTTGGATCCCAAGAAGACATCCACGGCCAAACCGATGGAAGCCGAAGCGCAAGCTTTCGGACTCCGTGCCACGCTACTGAGATGCCACGCTCGTGCCACGCGGCACCCGAGCGGGTCGTCGCTTCGGCGCCTGTGGACCCCGAGGCGATGAAGATCGCCTGAGGCGAGCGAGGCGGTGGAGAGGTGGCGAGCGGTGAATCGAAAGACACGACCAATTGGACTGCCATAGTTGCCACACCCAAGGGCGGTGCGGGTCCATTTTGGCATATATTATCATACATGGAGTGTCTGGGAAGGATTGGGGGCAAACGAAGGGCCCAGTTGGCAGTTGGATATAACATCTATATATGGCATACACCAACAAATCCATAAGTATTCTGGAGGCTTCCATTTTGGAGACTTCAGTGACCTGGCAGGGTGACCTGGGTGGCACCTGAATACAGAATTTCAGCCGTTTCATCTATCAGACCCTTCAAGAAGAAGACCGGGTCCAAAGAAATTCGAGTCCTATCGGTGCCAGGCTAGGCCCTGCGCTAGGCGACCTTGAGCCATGCCCTGAGTTCTCAGGTCATGAGATCCGACTTATGAGGCTCATGGAGCTATGGAGTTTCCATGTGTTGTTCCGTCTCTGTTTTCCCCACTCAACCAAGGTCGAACTCATGTGTTTCGAAGGTCAGATCGGCATGAGTGGAAGCAACTGGGTAACAAGTGGCCACCACGGCCACCATGGCACCGGCATCCTCTGCAAAACCATTATGTCCTTTAAATCACCACATATATTTCTCCAAATCTTAAGGCTAAGGATTTGTAATGGTGTCTATATGGTATAGGGCACACATGAGGAACATCTCACCTCCCCCAAAGAGACTCCGTTGACCTCAATCCATCGCCACCTCTCCGGTTCATCACCCTCGCAGATTCTTGGGAAGTCCGAGCGCTCTGGAAGGACTGCAAGGCACTTCGAACGTGACTTCGGGCCTGGGCAACGACGGGCAATGTAGAAATCTTGATGAGAAAAATGCATCGCCCTATATGAAGCCCTATAGGGCTCCTAAGATTAAGGATTAAGGTGTTTGGGGTGGGTTTGGAGGGTCCAGTCATACCTTCTGAGGAGGTAACCTCCTGGAGCCCTATCCAAATGGGAAAGGCTATGGAAGGCCAATGGACCTGAACCAAAGCGTGTGGCACGCTCCGCCCACCCCCCATGGACCAATCATGACACCATCTAGATGGACCAATCATGGCCCATGGCGTAGACTCCCCTGGCCCAGTGTGGATTGTCCATTGCTCCAAGCAGGCTCAAACATCAGGTGGCGCAGATTGAGGCGCAAACGATGTCTTGGAAGATCTTCTCCTGATCGAAGCCCACTTGGTCGGTATTGAGGGCAGGTTTTGCAGGAAGCAGCGGTCGACAGGAATCTCGAGAAATGTGAACTGCCACATCGGAAGCGCAGTCCGAAGGATTGGGTATATTTCCAATTTGGCCACTATATCCATCTCCAAAACAGGCCATGTGCACTTCAGCGGACTTTTTGTGCGCACGTTTCTTCTTCTTTTTCGGAGACGGGGGGGGGCTCCTCAAAAACAAAGGGTGCTAAGTTGTTCGTGACGCAGCAACTGAACCCAAATCAAATCAATCACTCCACACCCGGTGAACAATGGTAAGGGGGGTTTTCCAGGCATTCTATAGAACATGGCCCTCTTATAGAATGGCTTGTCACCGGGGAGGTCACTCCTTGGGCACCCGAAGCTCCGCGCCAGCGCTCCGCGCTCGACCGATGCTCGGCGCATTCTCCGCTTCTCCTGCGACGTCTTGGGTGGGAACCTCGGGGCGGCAGCCGTTCAGCCGAGCTCATGGCAGTTCTCACGTGCGCGTTCCAGGGGTGACTCAAACACCATGCGCTCATCCCAGCATTCAGGAATCCTAGAAACTGATGGACCTCTGTTTTGGAACCAAAACATGGTCATTCCTATCAAAACAGAGGTCAAATGGGTTCTAGGTATTAAGCATCCAAGCCCCGAACATCCGAAATGGTAACTCGTAGGTAGAAAATGGTAGAAATGGATCCCCGGTGGCCCTGCGCGTTGAGCCGAATGTTCAGAAAAAGGGGCTTAACTTATGAGCCACGAAGCGTATGGGAGAACACATTGGATTTGCTTAAGGAACCAGGAACACAAAATGATCCTAAGACCTCTTCCCCACTGCCAGGGATTTGCCCAGGTACCGAGAAAATAAATACGACCCGAAAACCGCGAGGTCCCCAGAAGCTCGGAAAAAGCACTCGAAAGAAGCATAGATCAAGTACGCTGGCAAGTGAAGGAGCAGGCTCAGTTTGTACCTGTTTCCATGGTCGGTTTTACAAGAGCAGGCTCCCAAAACATCCGAAACCAAACTCCCACGCCGTGATTTGGCTTTGAGACTTTTGCGTTTTGAGGATGCCACATCCCCGTCCCTGGCTGCCACCCCGTAGCACTTGGTCGAAGAGGATCGTATCCTCCTCACCGGCGCCTGCGCCACAGGCCGGGCACGGTGCGGTCGTCCCATCCTTCTTGAATATTTGTCTGGCGGTGTGGTTCTACATGGTTCTACGTAAGCTCGGACGTCTTTCAGAGTTCTTCTTTTACATGCTTCAGTTTTTGTTTAGGATATACTTTCCAAACTGTTTTAGGTGTCTGTTTTCCAACACCGTTTGGACCTGTTCTTGTTTGACACCTTTTTGTGGTGAATTTGGGTGGTTTTCCCGACATGTTCCCTCAAAAACGGGAGTGGCCGGCAGTGTGTTTGCTCAAACTCTCCTCAAAATCTGAGGAAAAGAAACAAGCTAGACGGGCTCCTTGGGGAACCTCCCTGCCAGCCCAAGACTATTAAAATATATCTTCCTCTTTTAGTGTTCGTTTGTGTTGGTTCGGTGCTTCTTGGAGGCCCCCGTGTGCCGTGCCAGCGCCTTCGTGAGCTCCCTCTCGAGATGATTTGGAACATGATCGTGCCAGGGGCCCCTTCGCTACTTCCATGTCAGTCAGTCAAAAGGTCATATCTGGATTCATGGACCAATCACGTTCGTGATGTTATCAAGTGATCGCAGCACTCTGCTCCAATCAGAATAGCAACCAACATGTGTGAAGTCAAGTGCAACCAACATCTAACATCTCTCATGCTCCAAATAATATATATTATTTAATATACACCACCCTCAAGACTTTGGGCTCAAACTATCTAATGAATTACGCATTCGTTCCTCTTTGGTTTCCAGATCAACCCTTTCTACAGTCAAGGGCCGAACAGAAGGCGAACCTACAGAGTCGATTCCCAGCATTCCCAGCATGACGTCAGTCAGACTCAGACTTTGCACGGCTCGAGCTCGCCTGCGCCCTGACCCCAAGGCAGCTGGCCTGCCGACATGCCAGAGTCTTCATAGGGATCGCCACTGGAGTCGCTGCCGGGAACCTGACCACGCTCTCCGACCCAAGAGACCCGTGGCGCGGACCAGGCGTACTGGGTCGCTCCGGGGGGTCGCGGGGGCTCCGAAAGGAGCCGATCGGAAGGGTCGATGCTCCATCCTCTTCGCCTTCGATCGGAAGGGGTGAAACGCCGAAGCAGGCAGCAACGTCCAGCGGCGAAGACGAAGGAAAGGCAGTTCCTTCTCAGTTCGGTGGGGCAAATGGTTGGCTGCATAGATCGACTTAGGTAGGCTGCAGTGTCCTAGGCTCCTGTGTTTCTTTTTTCCACATGGCTGTGGGTCAAAACTGGGTGATCCTGGTTGATCACTGAATATGAATAGATTGCCAGGTCAACCTGCAGGGTTTGGAGCTCCAGGTTTTGACCCACTGCCACATTCTCCCCACACTTCCAAAGGGTTGCCTTGATCAGCTGAAAAGTTTAACAGTCCTGCAGGGTTTCTCTCGTGGCCACTTCGTGCGGTTTTGACCCTCATCTTCCGACCCGCTCTGAGTGCTCTGTCAAGAGGAAATGAAAGCAGTTCAACTACCTAATTTGAGAGGTTGAGTATCCTATAGCTCATTCCATATATGTACCACTACAGGGTCCGAACGTTCAGGTCGCTCAACCTCTCTTGGTATGTTCAATTGTTCCTTGGGAGAGAGTTCGTCTACCAGGTACCAAGACGATCCAAGACGTTGGATGTGCTGAAAAGGAACTGGGAACAAACACAAACATCTTCTCCAGAAGGGAATTCACTCATAGGGAAAATACATGAAAATAACAAGTAACACGTGCCTCATGTAAGCAAAACCAGATTCATGTGTAGTCCAAACATCCACCGATCCTCAAAACCACACCAAACCAAGTTGGCTGCTCGGACCACAGGCCGGAAACCGACTGCCTCGATCTTGACTGAGCTGGAA